GGACCTTGCACTTGTGAGGCAGGCAGCAGAACCACTGAGCTAAATCCCCAGCCCAGTAGTATGACTTTTTTACTTTACTACTCCTTAATGTGAACAAGGGACAAAAAGACCCAAAGAAGAAAAATTTTGTAGTTTAGACTCCACAGCCAGCAACATACTGAGTGAGATGTTGGTTTTCACAGTGACTTTTCCATGCCATCCTATAAAGTGAAATGAAACACACAGAGAAAAAGTTTAAATTTATCTTCATTGTAATACATATATTTCAAGTCCTTTGCAGCAACAAAATATATTATCAATAAACAAAACATTGGCTTAGCTAGAGTCAGGTATTGCTACATATATCAAATAGAAGATATGTGCAGTGTCTTTTGTTTTCCAAAACCTCTTGGTACAGCATAGAATGGTGAACAAAAACATGGAGTAATGTACATTGCACATTTAACTTATTCTAGAAATACTTTACAGATCTAACAAGGCAATAAATAGTACAGTGTGAAGAACTTTAAAATTCCAGAAACCCCCTAAAAGAAATGGTGGAGTACAAGATTAAGATTCTGAGTGGCTGAAAGTGGACTGTTTCTTCAAAGGTGATGGCAAGACATTGCTTCACATAAACTCAAAACTGTGATTTTCACACACCTTGTTGTGTGAAGTCTTCTTTCACAGAACATATCAATAGTCAGGGTCTTAGTTGCTTTTCTATTTTCTGAGAAAAAATACCTGACACCCCAAATTAAAGGAGGAAAGGCTTATTGTAGCTCACAGTTTGTAGGGGTTTCAGTTCTTAGTTGGCTGGTTCAAAGGCAGGGTGATATGGCAGAGGGGCATCATAGAGCAGACAGGCAGAAGGCAACAAGAAGCAAGAGACAACAGCAGCCCTCTCTCTGTCCTTTATATTCTATCCCTAAGGTCAGGCAGCACACACCCCAGGTGGAGCAGCCTTAATCCTAGCATTGCACCATGAAGAAATCCCAGCATCACATCCTTAGTCTTAGGATCCAACCATTTCCAAAAAGCCCTGCATATGACCATACAAAGCTATATGGGGACATCCAGGTACAAGCCCTAACAGCAAGGTAAAACCTTTCCCCATTAACACTTAAACACACCACACTCTAATGCCTAGGGAAGAACTGACAATCTTGTCTGCACAAACTGCAACCTGAAGTGTGGCATCTTGCAGCAGAGTTCAAAGAGGGTGAGGAATGAAAATGACAGTCACAGGAATTTCATTTTAAGTTTAGATTTAGCCATGTAAGGCTAAGAAAATCTTTATCCATCTCATTTCACATGAAATAAAGCACTTTGTTTCTTATCAGAAACTTTGGAATTATTCATTAGTGTAATTATATGGCACTGTAAAAATATTTCTAGTATACTGTACTTTTCCTCAGGTATTTTACTGTTATTCATCCCAAAGAAATAATGAGAAATGCACCTAAGCAGGTATGCACAAAGGTGCTCACAGCAATGTACAAAAGGGGATAGGGAAAACAAACTGCCCATTAGTAATAGGTGGACCAAGAAATTATAGACTATTCGTATAGTAGAATTCTATTCACCTTTTAAAATGATAACACAGGTTAGTATTTTTTGATGTGCAAATATTTTTCTCTGTGATAAAAGGAAAACTATAAAGCAGTACATATAGCAAAATGTAATTTCTGTCAAAAATACACATTGCTTACATGCTTGTGTACATATGGGCATAACATAACTTTATATGTGTGTACACAATCAGTATACATTCTGGAAGAGTATATAGCTAAAGTTACCAGTGGTTATACATTTCTTAGCAGTATAACTGTGGGTGCTATTTTTTCTTGCTTGCATTTTCTATTTTTTATTCAATGACCAAAGATTATTAAATAACAAAATATTTTAGAAATAAATTAAGTAGATTACAAGACAGTGTTCCACAATTAGTCTTCTCTTTTGGGGATTTTAACATTTAAGCATTTAATCATACCATACTTTTACTATGTATATACTATTTTACGTATGTATATACTATTTTATGTAAAAAGCCTACCTTTTCTAATTCACATTACAATATCTCAGGCCAGGGATTTAGCTCAGTGGTTCGCGGCCTGCTTTGCAAGCGCAAGGACCTGAGTTCGATCCCTGGTACCAAGAAAAAAAAAAAAAGAAAATACACATTATAATCTCTCAGCAAATATGAAGTATATATTTAGAAGAAGCAACTGGTAAAATGATAAAGTTAGAAGTGGACAAGCATGTAGCTATATTGTTGGACCAAGCCTTAATAATAATAAATTGCCTATTGAGGCTTGGTCCAACAAATTCCATTTCTCCTATTTATGAAGGGGTAGTTTAGGGGTACTTTGGTTGGGGAGTCCTTTTTATGGTTTTGCCTTTTATTTTTAACTGTTCTAAATTATTGTTATTATAATAGTTAATATATAATTAATTATAATTAGTAGATGATTTAAGACACTTACATATTAAAACAACTTTTTGTGGTGCCCACTCATTTATCATCGTCATCATTATCGTTACTCTTATTAAGATTTCTGTACTAGAGATGGAACCCAGGAACTCAAACGAGCTAAACGGATGGTGTGCTACTGAGCGACAACACTCCAGTGCTAAGTTCTTATTTGGTGAATTTTATGGGAACAACAAATTGTTTTCTAGTAGACAAGATGGAGTTTTACTAGGTCCCCGAAGAATCCTCCTCAACTGTGTCATCTGCGTTGAATCTCTATTCCCTACAACCAGATGACTATCATTCCAATACTATCTTGTCATGTGCCACAGCCATTAACTGCTTTTGGATTTTAGCCATCATCGCACCAGTAATGGCTATTAATCTGGGACATCCATAGTCAGTGCCTCTGTCTCCAGCAGCATAGTTTTTAGCTCATGTGTTGTAACCACCCTCCCATTTGACCAAACACAGCCCTGAAAGGAAATTATTTTTAGTGAAAAATAGCAGCACTACATGCTGCATATCACAATCAGTTCTCTTTACTATTTCTTTTTTATTAGTGACTTACTTCAAAGATATATTTAATTAACACTGTACCTTTCAATTTTATTTTCTTGCTGTGTGACACAGGTTGTGGTCTAGCCCAAGCTGGTCTAGTGGGCTCAGAGATCCTCCTTCCTCAACTTTCCAAGTAGCCTGGACCACAGGTGTGAGCCAGCCTGCCCTGCTCAACACTAGCTCTACAGAGTTCCTAAGACAACCCTTTTGCAATGCAGCTCAATTTGCAATGCTAATAAAGCAAGATAAATTACTTAAAAAATACTATCATGGCTATTTCATCCACTGCTTTTATTTTTTTCCCTGTTCTCATCACTCAGCCAACATTCAGTTTAGAATAAAAAAATCAACAGAGCTGTTGAATAGATTTAGTAAATTTACAGCACACACAAGCACAGGCTTGCAGGAAAATATATTTTATTAGAAAAAATAGGATTTTTCTGAGAGAAGTTTTCTTGTAATATCTAAAGGCAAGGTGAGAAGTCAGGTAAGAGCCTTAAAAACAAGCATTAGAAAATAGAAAAGACTATTCTGTGACTTCATCCACCCATCCACTCATCCATCCATTGACTCCCTAATTCACTAGAAAATAATTATTGAGAGTAAATGTGTGACTATATTCTGAAAAATACAGGTATTATATTTAAAATGTGAATAAGCATATCATGAATTATATGGAAGAAAATAATTCATTATGTATCTCAAACATGTACTAATAAAGAAAATTAAAAAATAGTCACTCTAGAAAGAATAAAGAAGAGTAAAACACATCATGATGAATTTTAGAGATTCTTATATAATAATGGCTGGAGGAAAATAGGTTCTTACTGTTCTTTTTTTTTTTTGGTTTTTTTAAGACAGGGTCTCACTATGTAGTTGAGACTGACCTGGAACTCACTATGTAGCTCAGGCTGGTCTTGAACTCACAGCAATCCTCCAGCCTCAGCCTCCCAAGTGCTGGGATTACAGGCATGAACCACCACGCCTGGCTTACTGTTCTTTTTTTGATAGTTCAGCATAACTTTTAAACTTTTGTTGTTAAAAGCTGTAAGTCATGGCAGACAATCTTAAGAAAAATTCTGCATCACTCTAGGCTTTAGAACCCAAGGTCCAAACTGGTCCTCCAATGTGTTGGGCTTGCTCTGGCCATGACCTGTTTAATGAATATGTTTTTAAATTCCAACCTACAGTTTTAGCAGATACGAAAGACCACAGCCCCCAGCAAAACATGCCATCCTCCAGGTGGCTAAAACCAGATACAGGCGGTGGTGTCTCTGGGTGGATAGAACACAGAACCGGATGTTACAGAAAAGAGATAAGACTACAAAGTACAGCACAACATCTTCGTGGTGCCAAGTTACCAGATAACATCCATACATCTGCTTTGACCGCTGCATGGACCTGGACCCCAAATGTTTGCTCTGATACCTGCACCTGACAGACCTCTGCCCAATCCCCTAGGAAACGCCCTGCCTTTTCTTTGTTCATCACTGATGGCTTTGTTGCCCTTAGTCTGCCTGTACCCAGGTGAATAAAGTCTGTGTCTTGTTGTCTTCCAGTATCCTGCTTTGGTGTCACATACCACAATACATCCTCCAATTTATCAAACAGGTCCTGTGTGACATAGAACGCATACAATTTTCAGATCCTCTTCACCATCTCCTGCATCATTCCTTCACCAGGAATCTCTGGTTATACAGGAAAAAATGATATTTTAACCATTTTAAGTATTCAGACCCACAGAGAAATAAATTCATCGGCCGATGTGAAACTCTCTATGGCCCTGCTTTCTCTCCTGGTATTGGTCCCATCCAGGGTTCTCTGGAGGTCAGAAGGGTAGCAGACTTATGGTTTGCCAGGCTGATCCACTTGAAGCCATTCATTCAAAGGTTTTTTAAGAGTTCTGGCCAATTCACACTTTTCACAGACCTTGCCTTAATCCATCACAGAAAGGAAGAGAAACCACAGAATGAGGAAAGCCTTCATGTCGACTGGAAAGCCAGAACACTGGGCTACCTAGGGTTCAATATTTAACATTTTTTGTTTTCCATTTTCCTCTAGGAGTTTGGGAGTCCCCATCTTTTTTTGGGGGGTACCGGGGATCAAACTTGGGACCTTGCACTTGCGAAGTAGGCGGCGGCACCACTGAGCTAAATCCCCAGCCTTATATTTCATGAATTTTAACAACTTTAAAAATGACTGCTCTCAGCTTAACATCCACAGAAAACTTTACTAATATTCATTTTATTCAACTGCTTTATGTGCATTCATTATTTATTGATTTTTTTCACTTAAAATTATTTTACACATACCTTTTCACTAAAGGAACCTGACTGTTGTGCCAGTCATTTTAAAGAGTACAAGGGCTGGGGATTTAGCTCAGTGGTTCCACCGCATGCCTTGCAAGCACAAGGTCCTGAGTTCAATCCCTGGTACTGAGAAGAAAAAAAGTATATAGCATAGCATGGCATTATATTTCTAGGCCAGTTTCTTACTCTAGACTTTCTGCTGCTATTATAGATTTCATAATTATATATATATATAAAATAGATTTCATAGTTATTATATATATAATAAATGCATAGAATTATAAGTAAGGCTCATGTGAAAAATTTCCGGCCCCCTTTTTGACGATGCCTTGCCTTCCATGTTAGAACATAAGAGGTCATTCTAACGAACTGGGACTTTAAAAGTCCACCTACACAAACACAAATGATCAACTAAGTGGTACCTTTAAAAACTTAGTCATCTCAAGAACCTGTGCATGTTCTTAAAATCACTACTACAAGAACTTCAGAAGAACTATGCTAGGAAGTAAGATTCTGCACCACATAAAATGTAGTAGTTTATAGTTTCTTTTTTTCACTAATAGCAGTCCCACCCCCACAGCCTTTAAAGATTACCAGGTTTGGCTTTAAATTGGTGTATAGGGCATCTAAGAATCAAGAATAATCCCATTTTTCAGACTAGGCCATATTTTGACTTATAAATAATAGTGAGACCAATTTTGGAGTCCCGAATGAACAGAAACCAGCTAAAAAATCCATGTCTAGCCCACCTTCTTCTTTTCCTAAATCAATGCTAAAGAGCACTCAGCTAGTATCTATGGGTGTTTCAAATGAAGAAACTAATTTTTTAAAGTGTTTGAACAATTACAGAAATAGGATTTCTTTGGGCGGAACAAGCAAATAGTTGCTTCCTCAAGTATGACAATGCTACTGTATGACTACAAGAGGTGCTCTTGATCTTTTTGTTGCTTCAGGCAGGAGTGATAATATTCAGTTACAATTTTATTATTTCACTTGATATAATGAACCAGCTATTTAAAAATAAAACAATAGGTGGGCCGTGCTGAAATACTGCTGTAATCCCAGCACTTGGGAGGCTGAGGCAGGAGGAGCCAGCCTAAACTACATTGTGAGCTCAAGGCAAGTCTAAACTACATAGCTAGACTCTGTCTCAAAAACCAAAAGACCCAAACCAAACAAAAACAAAAACAACCACAAAATAAAATAAAATATAAAAAAGAATAAATAGGCATGATTTGGGGGCAGAAACAATTTTATGTATGCTCCATGGCTGCCCAAATTACCTGCCGGTCAGAGGCCAGCCAGATTCCTTGTTGCAGTAAATGCTCAACCCAAGAGAAAGACCTATAAATACCAACATTTGGGGTTCATGGTGAAATGGCCAATTTTGCTCAACTACTACATGAGCTCACAGATTTTCTTCTCCACCTCTTCTGCCTTAAGCCTCATGAATAATCAACCAAAGATCACCAGATACTTGGTAACAGCTACGAGTGTGAAAGATCAATAAAATAAATATCTGAAGAGGAGGAACTAGAGGAAAGGGAAGCAACATAAAACACAAACTATAGTGAGTATCTCAGGTACAAGAGAAATATCACCCATGGAATAAGCAAGAATGCTATAATAAAGAACTGATGAGAGAATACAAGGACCCCTTGTAATCTCTACATAATACCCTATTGTCAACACATCTCATAGGAGAGTGAAGAGATGCTCTACATGCTACTCCTGTATGGGTCACAAGGATATGGCAGAAGGCCTGGTGGAGGCCATGTGGTCCCGGGGAGACTAAACTCTACTTGCCCTGCCTTCAGAGTGGACAGGCTCAGAAAAAGTCCCTCCTGTCTTTAAATGATCCCTAATGCTGGAGATAATCCTAGGTGTCTTGGTTTCCAGCAACTCAAGACCACAGGGACAGACATCTGTGTTTTCATAATTTCGTTTCATTTTAACTCACGCTATCATTTCTTTTCTGTCAGCGTTGCACTCCAGTTTTTTTTTATTACTAATAATTAAAATCTTCTCTGGTCAGTATTTAAGGCACACAAAAACCATTATTACAAAACAGCCTCAGAAAGTGTTCTATGCAAGTACATCAAAGTTTTTTATGCTGATGGATGGAAGCAACATGATGTATTCATGAAAGGGCATCAGTGTTCACTTGCCAGTGGGGCAGTGCAGCCGCCTGTGGCCATTTAGGCCTTGGAGAGGCCTTTGAGAGGCCTTTGAGAGGCCATGGTTAGGGCAGGAGCATATACTCCAGAAAAGGGAGGAACTAAGGTGTACCCTTCCAGGTCATGCCCTCAGTTACCTGCCTGTTCTGACCAGACCCTACCTCCTAACAGCACATTCAGCTATAGGATCCTTATAATCCAGTCACCTTTCAAAAGCCTGCCTATGAGCACATGAGGCTTTGGGGGAATACGGATATAAACAGTAGCAAAGAGATGAATATAATGTCCTTTCTTATTCATAAGGATACTTTATAACCTCAAGTAGCTGTCTCAAACCAGAGGTAGCACTGAATCTCATGTATGTTATATATTTTTCTTTATACACAGAAACATATTAATGTTTAATTATGAGTTAGTCACAGCAAGAGATTAGCAATAACTAACAATCAAGTACAAAAATTGCTACATTAACTGCAATAGGAATACTTAAACATAAACACCCAGATTCCCTGACCATCATCGTGATAATAGAGCTGGCTATGAAGTGACTGCTGAGTGGGTAACACATACATTGTGGATACTCTGGGCAAAGGGATGATTTTTGTACTGAGCAGGGCAGAGCAGGATAGTAAGAGATTCCAGCACATCACTTGGTATGGCATGTAGTTTAAAACTTATGAATTGCTTATTTTTGGACTTTTCAATTAAAAAATTTCAGACCACTTTTGACCTAGGAAAACTGAAACCCCAGAAAGTGAAATCATGGTTACAGGAGTGCTACTTCTAATAAGTAAGTAAAATCTATAGTTTGTCAAATGGATGTTGACTTGATCCTAGGGCATTCATACATTTAGAAAAGATACAATAGAGCAAGAGCCAACAATAGGATTGAGAAGAGCAGTCTATGAGGTAGGATGTAATGAAGATAAGCTGAGGGACTAAAGTTTTTCAAGCACTAAGCAAGTACTAAATGATTCTCTTTGTAAAACACTCCTAAGAGATCAAGTAAGATGTGCAGAAAACAGTTGGTTCCTGTAATTGTACTAGAATCACAGAAGATTTCGTGGGCAAGCAGGTCTAGCTGTTGATATAAATTATGAATCTAATTTTAAAGCTGTACAAACAGAATACTTCTAAGGAAAAACTTAAACCCAAGGTCACACACTATGTTCCCATCCTGTTGTCCCTGCAGGGCTGAGTTTATGGTAATATGCTTGCCTAGCATTGGCAAGGCCATGAGTTTGATTCCTAGTATCACACACATGCACACACACACACACACACACACACGCACACGCACACTTCCCATCCTTTACAAAATTTTTTAATTCATGCAGACTTTTTAGCCATTTGGCATTTCACCCCTTAAAGATTATATTGCTTAACAGAATTTTATTTTTACTGCTATAGGATGTGACATTCGTAGGTTTAACCATCAGATGATAGCACAGCTGGGATTGTGCTCAAGTTTAACTTCTTTTATGATAGTTTTTTGTTATATTTTAGCCAGTATTGGGAGATGCTTGTATTATTCATGAAAAAGTCTGTTTACTTCATTGATGAAGAACTGAAAGTACTGCAGATGTATTTGAGAATCATAGTTTTAGATAAATTTTGACCAGTACTTAGTTCTATTGTTACCTTGGATAAAAGGGTCCTGGATAAGTTTCTAGGATCTTGTGTACAATCAACAAAGTATTAGATGTGGCATGCAACAGTAAGGAAAAAGCAGCAAAATTTTAATAAGGTGACAGTTTGCTCAGAGTCAGTGTTTTTGCACCAGCGTAAAGGAAAATGGAACAAGCATTGAAGGTTTTGATGTTTTCAGAATTCAAAATGTTGTGCCAGGTGTAGGGTGTCTCCCACTGGGTCTTCCAGACCAAGATTGATAACTTCATTGACAGGTTGCTGAGTCATGTCAGCTGTACCTCTTGAGCATGTCCTTTCCCACAAATTACTGCTGTAATTGGATGCATGAGATG